TCAGATCTCGGCTTATAAACGGAATTCTACCTTCTCCTCTCCCAGACCTCGGCTTGTAAACGGATTTCTACCTTCTCCTCTCTCAGACCTCGGCTTGGACAAACGGACTTCCTTTCTCTCACTACTAAACTGCAGTTTGTTAAAAGAGACTCCTTCCTTTTCCTCCATTGGGTGAATTAACCCTTCCAGTGCCAGAGTGCTTCTAAGTTAAGTAAATCTCTTGTCAAGGAAAGCAAGTCATATCAATTATTATAGTATTTAATTTCTCTAAACTCTCTGTTGACAAATAAGCATTGCATTTTTTCCTTGCATGTGTATTTAAAGATACAGTCTACCTTGTTCACTTCAATAAAATAAAGGAGGTGAAACTTATTGTTTCTGCAGTTGAGTTCCAATTAAAGAGACATTACACAAAAGCATCACACCTATGATGGCATACCATTTGCAAAAGACGACAACCCAAGGTATTGCAAACGGGGTATGTCCAGTCTTTTTTAGTGGCCACTTAGTCACAAACACTGGCCAAAATTGGCGTTTTTTGCATTTTTCACACACAAACAAATACTAACGCTAACTTTGGCCAGTGTTTGTGACCAAATGGCTACTAAAAAAGACTGGACATACCCCATTTGCAATACCTTGGGTTGTCTACTATTGCAAATGGTATGCCATTATGGGTGTAAATTTCATTCCTGGGCTACTATAAAGTCCCAAAGGCAACGTAACCAATCTGGCAAATTTCAATTTCAAATGTAACGTGTTATTTGACCCTGTAACTTCCCAAAACGCCATAAAACCTGTACATAGGGGTACAAGTGTTGAGTTCCACATATGCTTAATTAGTCAACAACTAATTAATCTAGAGGTTTACTCACTCAATTAAATAGAAACTGAATTGCATTTGGAATTGAATGTGTGGATTTCTGTTTCATAATCTTATTAATCCATTTAATTCATATTTTAAAAGAAATGTGCTTTCGCAACTCTTATAGCAGTTGTCTGAAGCATAGTTTAAAGTTTATCCCTTTAGAAAGGAATACAGTATTATCACAAGGTCACATTAGTGTAGGCTTTATGGACTATAATTTGTTTTGTACATGTAAATAGCTATTTTAGTAAATTCTACCTCATTGCCTAAGGCTGTAAACTGTCAGCCACCCCTGATAAAGGCTTACTTTATAATCTCATTGTCAGTTATTTCACCTAGAGAATACATTACGTGTATGTTGCGCCCACTGTTGTTTTTTGTACTATGCCTGTCAAACACGTATTGCAGTTATCTGCACTGGGATCCCTTGCCACTTGCCAAAATAGGGATAAAGTGGCCCATGATGTTAGACTTACAAGAGGGTGTGCATGATCACCCTGGCTGAATGCTTGGCATTGGGAGTAATGAAGCTTGGCCAGGTCCTACAACTAGATTGGCACAAATTATGACCTCTTTGCTAGTGTTTTTAATATATATACTTATCTTGACTATTTTAGACTAAAATATGGAAATCCCTTGTCAATTCTCCTATTCTCCACAATTCACACTTTAGTAAATAAACCTGTACATCATACAATACGGAGAAGGTGTAACTGTACGCCATTTGCTGTTTGTTTCAGCTTGTCATTATTTATCATGTTTCTGAATCAGCATTATCATGCCGTCTGATCGAAATCTGAGCAGGAGGTCTCTCCGTGTTCCGCAGGAAGTCTTTAGAGTACTTTGAAAACAAAGAACACTTGTGTAAAGTCAGATATTAGCATTAAATGGCTAAGCCCCAACAAGACTGTACCTGCGTTTCAATACCGTCACACACAGCTATGCTATATCTCTTCTAGACTTAAATGTCAATTGTAAAGGGACCTCCTAACCCTCTTTACTTATTCCTCTTAATATATTCCTCATTCAGTTGTTTTCCTTCTTTCTTTTATATTTCAGTTGTACAGCTCTGCATAGTATGTTGCACCTAAATAAATAATATTTTTAGCTTCGATAAGGGTGATTTATAAACTTACAGAGAGAAATGCATCAAACTGCAATCCCGTAGAGACGAAATACTGCAGTTGCAAAGATTTAATTAAAATGGCTCAATTTTTCACTCTTGTTAGCAGCACAATTTTTTTTTTATTAAACTGCACCTTCAGAATAAAAACCCTTCCAGATTATAAATGTAAACAGATATTTCAGATAAAATAGTATAAAAATATTCCATTTGAATGTTTATAGAAACAAGATAACACATAATAGACAGTTATTGCAGTAAAGAACTAATTTGTCTGTCTAGTTTTATCATTATTTTTATGAAACATTGCACATATTTTGCATATTTTGTTTTGTAGCGACATTTAATCCACATACCATGAGTTCTTAAATTTCTTTTTTTTGTATTCCCTTAAAGGGCACTGTGAACACTACCTATACAGCTGAAACATTTTGTGATGATTTGTCACTTACCTGTGGTCCATCTCGTTTGCCTATGATCCTTCCAGTCTCCTCAATACAGTCCTGATTGGGCTGAAGTTCAGATTGTGCTTCAAGCTATGAACAACTTCTATTGACTCATTTTGGTGAAATGAGTAAAGTGTGGTTATAAAGCCTTATTTATACTTGTACAGTCTTTGGTGCTATATTGATTTTATTTGTTCACTTGTAATTGCAATAAAGTTTGAATCCTTTTTAATGTAATTTCTTTTTTCATTTTTGGGGGATGTTACTTTATACCCTGCTGGCTTCCTGATTCCACACATCCCAGGTGGGGATTGTACCACCAGAGCTGTATAACACCAGAGCAAGCCATATGCTCCGCCACATGTGAGTAGGATACCTACCTTTTTTGTATATGGTCAACCATGTGTTTATACTGTACCATTGGATGTTTTTATTTTTGTCAATTCGTATTGCACTAACCTTGGAGATATACCATAACCACTGCAGAAAAATATAAATCCTTAAACGGGATTGTACCATCCATGCTGAATACAGCAGAGCTCTTAGTAGCTCTTTAAAGTGTGAGTGGGCCTTCATTATGTGTTTTCAGCACATTATAACGGACATATGTATGTACAGTACAAACTACTCTATAAAAAAGATAACACTTAAGGGTTAGATATTATAGTTGCGGTTTATTAGTTTTGTATTGGGTTTTTGCTTGAATTGGATGTCACAAGGTTTTGGAATCCTTGTTTCGATTCACTGCTGTCTCGTTTTACTTGCATTATTGACTGAAAGTAGTTGATTCTTTTGCATATATTTCTGTTCTGTGCACCAATCATTTTTACATTATTTTTCAGTTTTGACTGGTTAATGCATTGCACCCAATGCTTCCATAAATTGCCAAGGGAAACTCCAGTGAATAAAGTTTCGCACCTTTGTACTAATAGGCATTAATTAACTAGTTGTTGTTAGGTTATTGTAACCTTTGTTGCAGTTAAAAATCAAGCAACAAAATCTAAATATGGATACAATACCTGGCACCTTTCATATAATATGCATTGAATAAATTAAGTCATCACTGACTCAATGTAGGTGAAATTGGACGCTGTATGTGCCCGGAACAATCTCCTACACATCTAGCACATGCATCACCTCAATTATTGAATTTATCTGGTATAATTACATACCTTACACGCATTGGGTGACATATTTTTATATATCGTTTACATTGGCATTAAAACAATTTTAGCTAAATGAAGCAGTTTTAGTGTATAGATTATGACCATGTAGTTGTACTGCTCAATTCTCTGCCATTTGGGAGTTGAATCACTTTAATTTCTCTCCATGCAGCCCTAACCACACCTCCCAAGCTGTGACTGACATATCTAGGGTTGCCACTGTGTTTAAATCTGCCTGGCCGGTGCTGGTATTGCAAAAATACGGCTATATAAATGCCGGTGAGATTAGATTGCAATACCTGAGCCTGCCAGTAGGGGCTGATATATTTGGAGGAAGTTTCATAATCTCCCTGCCTCTCTCTACTGACAGAGAGAGGCACAGCACATTCAGCCAGCAGTTCACAGCCTGCAGCACACTGCAGATCAGATAAGTTAGGGATGATGGGGAGAAGTAGGAGGACAGACTGCAAGGAGAGACACAGTTGGAGATAAGGAGAGACATAGGTGGGAGGTTAACAGGAGGAGAGAGACAGGTCATGGGGTTAAAGCATGGGTCGTCAACCTGGTCCCTACCGCCCACTAGTGGGCGTTTCAGGATTCCAGTTGGGCGGTAGGGATTTCAGAGATTGGGTAGGTGGAAAGGAGGGCGGGTGCGAGCCGACGGTACCCATGCGACTGGGTACCGCCGTCACCATTTTCGTGCCCGGCCCGCGTGGCAAACGGCCGGGGCTGCCACCCAAGGGGTCCATCGGGTGGCCCATGCTGTCAGGGCCACCCGATGGATGTGGATTGAGAGGGGGCCCGGTCAGCGCTGGGCGCTTTAACAGCGCGACCGGGCCCCCTATTATTACATCACACGCTGGGAGGAAGTGACTGCACGTCACTCCTCCCAGCTAAAACTGAGAACCGCGCGGGAGGAAGACCAGGGAGTCAGAGTGGGAACTCTGACTCCCATGCACCTGAGCCACCACTGGACCCCAGGGAAAGTCACCTTAAAGGTAGGAAACAGGAGGGTGACAAAAATATTTTGTGTGTGTTTGTTTGTGTGTGTCTTTGTATGTATGTCTTGTGTGTGTCTATGTATGTATGTCTTGTGTGTGTGTGTCTATCTGTATGTATGTGTTTGTGTCTTGTGTCTGTCTGTATGTGTGTATGTGTACCTGTCTGTTTGTATGTATGTGTGTTTGTATGTATGTGTACCTTACTGTTTGTATGTATGTGTGTGTCTGTATGTATGTGTACCTGTCTGTTTGTCTGTATGTGTGTGTCTGTATGTATGTGTACCTGTCTGTTTGTATGTATGTGTGTGTATGTACGTGTGTGTGCGTGTGTCTGTATGTATGTGTGCGTGTCTGTATGTATGTGTGCCTGTCTGCATGTATGTGTCTTGTGTGTGTGTGTGTATGTATGTGTGCGTGTCTGTATGTATGTGTGCCTGTCTGCATGTATGTGTCGTGTGTGTGTGTGTGTGTGTGTGTCTGTATGTGTGCCTGTCTGTTTTTCTGTATGTATGTATGTGTGCCTGTCTGTGTGTGTGTCTGTATGTGTGCCTGTCTAGGTGTGCCTGTCTGTGTGTGTCTGTATGTGTGCCTGTCTGTTTGTATGTATGTGTCTTTTTATGTGTGTGTGTGTATGTATGTGTGTCTGTCTGTTATAGTGGGCTATAGTAAGTGGGCTACCGAGCTAAGCCTTCCTACTGGGCATTGCTATAAGGAAGGTTACAAAATAGAAAAAAGGGAAAAAAAATATGGGGAGGGGAATTGAGGAGGGAGATGAGATGAGCTGACGCACAGATGAGAAATCCTATTATGCGCAAACAGAGAAGTCGTCTGAATATCACCGAAAGAGGAGACCTTCGTTTGTTCCTTACGAAAATCGAACCAGATATCAAATATTTAGTCTCGCAGCATCAGCCTCAAGGACCTCATTAATCACTAGTAAAGGTAATTTCAATTTACTTTATTGTTTTCCAATTAAAATTTATAAAGTTAAAAATATTATAAACATGCATTATGTAGAAATAAAAAGATAAATGTACGTACATTTATTTATTTTTTAAAAACACCCTCCTTTCTAAAAAATATTCCGCACTTGCGCGAAAACTGGTGGGCTGTAAGGAAATTTTTCCATCAAGAAAGATGCATTAGTGGGCGGTAGGTAGAAAAAGGTTGACTACCACTGGGTTAAAGGAATGATATAGTGCCAGGAAAACTAAGTTGTATTCCTAGCACTATAGCTCCATATAGCGTCCCCCTCCCCTCCTGTTGTAAAATACCCTTCTGTGACTTACCTGAGTCCTGCACCAATGTCCTCCTCCCCCACTATTCTGCACATCTGCTGACTTGCTATCTGTAGTCTTTTCAAGCCATCCCATCTCTCCCAGGCACCGACTTTGTCTGTACTGAGATATACTCTAATAACAGGATTCTCACTGAGAAGCCTCTGTGCTGGAGCCACACATGCAGTCGCGTGTTTCCGATGCTTCTCTATGCGCTGTTGTTTTGGTGCCTTTAAAGGAACCAGGCTGGAACCTGGAAATGCCTTTTGGTTGTTTTCTTGACATTCTTTAATATTTTAGGATACTAACGGCTATTAGTATATACTTCATTTTATATACTGTATCTACTTAAATATATTCTAATTTCATATTTAAAGAAGCCTATTAACTTTTTGTGCTGTGTCCAAATAATTTGCTTAATTCTTTGATACCCCACTGCGTCTGCATCAATCACCTTCATTCCCCATTTTACTCGTTCATTCCAGCATCAACATCCACCACTTTCAGTGACATTTAAGTGCTCGGTAGATCTTCAGCTCCTGCGACCTTTACAACTGTTTTCCTTAGGCTTTGGGCAAAACAGCTCTTTATCTGAAACCTGATTTCAAGTTGTAGAAACTTGTAGAATTTCCTGTGAGGGTTCATTTACATTTCACGTGTCGGAAAAGAAATTGTCAGTTGTTTTGTTTACCACAGACGTATAAATGAACTCAATGTCAGGAGGCGGCTAAATTGCCCGACTACAAACTCCA